TAATTGAAGTGAGTATTGTTAAAGTCGAGCACGTGAGACGTTCGTTGAGAATTATAGCGTTTGTTATAGCGCGACTGTTGAAATTAAGTGTATCGCAAAGTTATATTCAAAAAGAATAAACCAGGTTTATTTAAGAAAGGACTTGTGTCGCTAAAGTTTCGTCGGAACAAATTTACGGAAATTAACTAACGAACGGAGATGTAACAATATGTTAGATCTATGTTTTTCAACCAGGGTGCCGCGAGATTTTAGCAAAATATTATAAATAAATATATAAGTTGCTACCTCTAATATTTGAAAAGTTTGTATGTGTACTAAAAGAAAAACGAAAGTTGCCAAATTTCATTTTATTCAGAATCTGTTGTTGGGGGGGATTCGTATGACCCCCCCTTCCCATTAGCTACGCCACTGTTAACTAGGCTATAAAACGTTAAGGGTGCCGTGGAAGTTGTAGACTATGTATAGGAATGTCTTGAGCAAAAAATGGTTGAGAAACACTGTGTTAAATAAACAATTTTTAGTGTTCCATGGTTGAATGTGGTGTTCCATGGATGATTCATGAATGTAGATACAATTCATTAGTACTTCTAGTTAAAGTGATTCAATCAAAAGAAACGGAAGTTTGCTAACTTCTGATATCTCATGTCTTGCGATTCAACCTTAATATTTATAAATGTCTGTCTATATATATTCTTGTAACTGCTTGTAATACTTTAACCAGTATCCCTTGTTAGTATGCTAAAAATAGTTAAAGTACTGTTACGTATCTGCTTGTTTGATAATTTCCCGTAAAAAATTATTCCGAAGAACTTCAGCGACACAAGTCCTTTCTTAAATAAAACTAGTTTATTCTTTCTCGTTACAAACTTTGTAATACACTTAATTTCCACAGTCATTTTAACTTAAACACACGCTATAATTCACAACGATTCACGCACTTTACTTACGACTTGACTCGATTATCTGTCTCTATATCTCCCTATCTGAAATTATATCTCCGCTTTATTTGCCTGGCTTATATACTAAAATAGAGGGCGTCTAGCAAATACTGGATTATTCGTGATGTTCCCCAATCCTTCTAGAAACTC